TCTTTTCTGCCTTTCGGTGGTTTCATGATTTCCATATTTTATCAGTTTAGTCCCAGTATCTCCAGCTAAAAAAAGAAACACTTTGCTTACAACCTTTAGAAACCAAAGGACATCAATGTTGATCACAATCTCTGGCTTCTTCCTTGCAGCTAAATCAAACCTTTCGGGAGTTTGTTTTCAGCAGTGGACAGAGACTTGATCTCTTCTTGAGAACAGATGACTAAACAAAGTCAGGGGCTATTTCCAGGGGCTATTTTTTTTTTATTTTTAAAAACAAATTTAGAAAAAAAAATTACAGAGAATTTTCAAAAATATGTTTGAATGAAGCACATTTCAAAATGATATATCAGTTTTAATGATGATAACCAGTTTTTAATATTTCTGTATGTTTCTTTCTAGACTACTATATGTACATATATATTATTTAACATAATTGAAATTCTTTTGCATTCTTCAGTTTTAGTATTTTGCTGTTTATTCATTTATGATAAATATTTCTGTAAATTAAGCAAACATTATGAGTTCAATTCTTTTTACCTCTCAAGAGGTGGGTTCCATAGGTAATTAGAAATAGTAGCTTAATATGTCATGAAAATCTTATGGAATTGTTCAGGAGGCAGCCTTAACTTAGGCAGCCTGAAGAGGCTGGTGACAAGTCAGATGGAATCTTAAATTTTCATCTCAGTTTTATAAGTCACTGCAGTTCCATACTGGCCAGCAAAAAATCCAAATATTGCCTGATCTTGTCTCTCAATCTGAGATGTCACTGAACCCTGGAGCTTAATTCATCTTCTAAATGCTTACTAATACCCAAGATCTTCAAATCTGCAAAAGTACTCCAAAGGTTCTATTTCTTTTTATCCTTACCAAAGCTGTCTCCCAAATCAAGGAATGCTCCTTTGAGAATGGTTAAAGAATGTCATAATCCTCTTATTTGGGAATCTGATTTGCAAATGCTAAGAAGGGGTATATGCTTCCCCTATGCTTATTAGCATTAACCATTGCAAATCACTGGCCAGGCCCCGCCACCTGACTTAGGATAAGACTGGGAGAATCACCAAATTTGTTTTTTCAACAGACATTTTCATGTGCTTAATGTAATGACTCACAGAAGGTTAGGTAGCTCAAAGGATCAGAAAATGCTCTTTACGATAAGGTCTGACTCTTATAGATCTCCAGCCATAGGAAGCAGTGGAAAAATTAGAACTGTGTTTAACTCTCAGTATACAACACTAGCTCAATATGAAGAAATTCCAAAATAAGAAATAAACAAATTCTCCCTAGAGGTTCTCTGACAGCCCACAGATGTAGACCTGGCAGGATGCCCAGACACTTAGATGGGTACAGTTTGGACACATCAGGTTAGTTCTTTGTAACATCTCTGAATTCATCCTCTTTGGTTGTTTTCAGCCTATACTGTGTCGACTCAGTCCATGGATTTTTTTTTTCCAAATAATTGATTTGGCATATTCATTATGATGGCCCAGCATGTCACTGATTTCACTGTATGTTTCATTTTTCACTGGAGGTTTGGCCCATACCCTTGGATACTGTAATTATTCTACCTTTTTTGTTTCTCCTCATTATACATGAAGTGCCAGAGAGAGGCCATCCTTACTGATTGAACACTGATATTCCCTTTCAATCCTCTCAGGAAGGGTGTTAGCTCCTGCACCAGGCATGGGTCCGAGAATATGTGAATTAGCCTTGATTTGTGAATTGTCTGTCCTTTCCATTTCCATAGTTGTCACAGCCCTGCTGACCTTACTGTCTGTGCCTTGAAAATGGGAATGACAAATCTTGTCCCTTTCCAAAAAAAAAAAAAAAAAAGTGTGCTAGAGATTAACTGAATAGGGTTCAAAAGCCCCAGGAAAACCTAAGAGAAGCCTGTTCACACAAGCCAAATGCTGGTGCTCTTTTAGGGCTAAAAGATGTGCTTATTATAATTTCTAAATAAGAAATCAAACTTTGAAGTAGATGTGTGATTGACAGATTGATTGACAGATCAGTTCTGAGTCCAACTCTCTGTAAGGCAAAAGGGTAGATATTCAAATTTACAAGGCATGTCTCAGCTTTTAATTAGAGTTAAATACACCATGCAATTGCTGTATTCAGAGCCACAGCCTGCCTGCTTACAGTTGTGCCAGCAGCAGTGGTAGCCTTGTAGACTGGCGCTGTCCAATGTAGTAAGTACATCAGGGGCACTGGCCACGTTTCAGTTGTTCAGTAGCCTCATATGCAGGGCTACCATATTGGACAGCACAAATAAAGAACCTCCATCAGCACCGAACACCCCATTGCATACAGCTGCTTAACACAGATCTTCCCTCTCACCACTACTCTAACTGGTCTGAAGTCCATCTTTATAGTAGTATTGGGTGGGCCCATCTCACACTGACGAAGAACACTCACAAATCACAGCACATATGTAACAAACACCACATTTTCATACTTACCAAACCCAGTACGAGAGCCTTAGAGGTACTCAAGTACATATCCCAAAGAGATTTATCAACCAATAATCAATACCTAATTTTAAAAAGAATTATATCATGAGACAGAGGCTAGAAATATGCTATTTTCCTTTATCTATGAATTCCAGTTGATTCATGGTCTATGGTCTGAACGTCCAGGACACTACCTCTTTCTCTGCCATCACCCTCCCTAATACGCCTGAGAATTAAAGATTGATTTTACTACAAGTCCATTCTTCTCTGTTCATGGTATCTCATCTGTTTCATAAAGAATGCAACGCTGGCAGAGATTTAAGTGTTTTACATGTTCTATATGGAAAAAGGGTAAACATCAAATATAGATCCAAGCTAAACAACTTAAAGTGCGTTGTTTACCATGCCTCTTACTTTATGGCTAATCTCAGATACATCCCACATCTAGCAGGGAACAGGCCTCACACATCCATAAACAGACTACAATCCAAGCTATCGAATGAGGAATATTTAAGCATAGCATTCACAAAATAAGTAATAGAATTACAGAGTTGAAAGAGACCAAAGAACCTTCAGAGAATTGGATGTCAAGCCATCTCTTTTCAAAAGTGGGCAAAATGAAGTTGGGAGAGGTGTGGTACTTCCAGATCACTTGAGGAGCAATGGAGTCAGGATTAGGACTCAGCTCTCCAGACCAGGACCCAGGGCTCCTTTGGAGACTTTGTTCTTTTCCCTCCTGTGACAAGGAGGATGTTGGAGACCAGCTGGAAGGGGAAGAGAAAGTCGGCCTCTCTCCCAGGGAAGAAGGGTGAGTCCTGGTGCAGGGGCAGCACCTGGTCTGTCATGGCACTCACTCCCTGGCACGGGAGATGCCCTTTCTTCATAGACTGTATCAGCATTTCTATGGTTCCATCTGGCTTCAAAGTTACCACTTTCCAAAGTAGCCTATATGCCCAGTCAATGGAATTTTGGGAACCAGAGCACAAATACCCTGTCCTGGTTAATTTATTTTGTTTGTACCTTTACTCTCTGGCTTTATAATGTGTTCCCTAAAGGAAATCCCCAGTTCCTTTATCCCACATCTCTCAGATGGGATCTGAGCATTTATATGAAGGATTTATAGATGTGATTTTAGGGGACTCTTTATCCCATGAAAAGGAAATGGAAGTTCACCTTTCAGTCCATGGCATTCATTAAATTATCAAAGATGTCCATGATGGAAAAAGGCTAAGAACTTCTATAAGGGAAGAAAGAAAGATGAACTTTTTAAGAGCAAAAAACAAATACTGAAACCTAGGAACACTGGTCTACTGACCATAGGCATAATAAATACAAATTTAATGGAAATAGGCAATGTAGGTGAAAGAAGATACAATGTCAAAGCAGCCCAGGAAGAAACAAACTTGATGATACATTTCCCTTGTCTCTTCCTTCATCCATTGGTTCAAACTTTCAAAGTTACACATTGATTTCTGCAAGTCAGTGAGTTGGGAGACACCTACCCTCTTCCCCAGCACCCCACTGGGATGCAGGCTTACGCAGACCTCCTTGCGATGGTGGGGTGGGGTTTGGAATGCCAAGTCAGGCCCTGACTGGTGGCCCTGCCTCACTGCGTGCAAAGCTGCAGAGCCAGAAACTGTGTAAGGGGGCAAAGAGGCCTCCCACCAACCTTCTTCTCTCACAAAAGACTTCCTACAACATCTCCCACATGGCTGTAGACTAGAGCATGCCATACAGAAATAAAAAAAGGACATCTGTTACTACTAAACTGACACTGAAAAACAGCACCCCTAACACATGACACCGTGACAGAGAATAAGGCTCAAAATAGGAATATGGCCATTCGTGGTGTTTGGCAAAGATGCTGAGGCTTCTTGACAAACATGGCCACGTAGGAGGTGCAGGTGGGCTTTGGCTAAGAGTCACAGCGAGAGCCAAGAGGGCAGGATTGCTACAATCAGCCCTGCTTTCTCTCTTAGAAGTGGCTTGACAGCTTCAACATTCACGAGGGGCAATGCCAGCAGCCACCAACTCAGTACATGCTAAGGAAGAACCATAGAATCATGTTTTTTTACCTTCCATTTCAGTATTTAGGGAAGATACCACCTAAAACATCCCATTCAGTTAAAACAATGGAATGGAGAAATTCCATATACCAAATACTAAGAAATGTTCACGGCAACTTATAATTTTGAACTAAAATCACATTTTTCATTTGGGAATACAAATCATGCATTTGAAAAATGTCTGTTGAACTAGATATGGGAACAGTGTAAGCCACGACTATGTTTGCCTGAAGCATTTGACTGTTGATGCAGTACAGTTCATCTGGTTTTCGGAAGAGTTTTCTCATTTTTTTTTCAAGGGTCTGGCCTTTAGAATCAGCTTTGCAAGGAGAGAACTGTAGCAAAACCATGACCGAGTAGGAAATGTTCCAGATAAGAATATTTTGGCAGAAATTTTAAAAGAAAACTCTTACTGGTGTTGATTGACTTAAAAATATTTTTAAAGTATGGTATGTTATAAACCTCTTCAATAACAAGAGACAGGGTCTGATTTGTATATTTTATTTTGACTTTACATGCGGTGTTAAAAACCCAAAGTACATATTATTTACACATCCACAATACAAGTTTACAAGATATCTATACATGTTAAAGTACTCTATAAAACAGTATAGAGCCACTTCACTTTAGGGTTACTTTTTATGCCGTACCATTAAAAAAGATACAATCTGTGTTTACCTTTGCACAAATGGATAAAGCATTTAAAAATTAAATTAACAGGATAGAGACTAGATTTAATGTTAGAAATTTCAACATAAATATTGATAGAACTCACATTACGAACTACAAGGCAGCACAATGTTACAAAATGTTATCGGGGTCACATAGAGTTACTGTTCCGTTTTACACACGCTGGGATTAATATTGGTAAGGTGAATTCAAACACATGTTTGTTGTCGGTGGACTGAGTAGTGTTTATCATTGGTTGGTTTAATTTATTATTAATCTGTAATATTTTAGTTGAAGAGCTGAAGTGTTTCAAGAACAGAAGTTTTAGCTTTTGAGCTTCCAGAGATCACAGGAAATCATGTTCTTTGCAAAACAATGTTCTCAAAAGGAAAAGAATTAACTGTATCAGTATTCCACATTCTGTATAAAAGTGATCTGGTCTTCTGCAACCTGTCCTCCCCCAAGTAATAGATACCATCAGTATTACCACAAGAAATCAGCTGAACTTACTTGCCTGACTAAAGTCAGGAGCATTCCTGTCTTGGTATTTTCTAGATTAGGTTCAATAAACAATTGTGTGGTGTGCAGCGTATTAACTGAAATAGTCATTGGGGTCGCACACCATCAACTGCAAGTGGTTTCTGCCAAACTAGGTATAAATGACTCTATATGGTTTCCACGGGTGTCACATTATCCAGGAAACCTCATCTGAGTTCACATTATCGCTGTTTCATCCTCAGGAAAGCAGGAGTGGAATGTTTATCATGGCAAAGGATGTAATGCTGCTATTAGGGTGGATTGTTTAACAAATTAATCGTTCTAGGTTGTTTTTATGATTTTTTTTTTTGAAAGTCTTTTCAGGTGCTGGTTGAAAAACATTTACAACTGGCACTCGGTAAATAATGTGCTATATTGAAAACACTTGACATATTTTAACTTCTATCATTCTCATGAATAAGGCACAAAATGCACAGATTCAGGTAAACTCACATGTGGTATTTACAGTATATTGTCATTACCTGCATGACTTAGGAGAAAACTCTCACGTAACACAACATAGACAACATGATTGCACCACTGTTAGATTTTCACAGACTGTTTCTGTTAAGCCAATTACAATTTCTTTCGTATGTCTTTCATCTTCTGTTTTTTTTTTTTTTGTTGTTGTTGTTGTTGTTTGTTTTTTTACCTTGGGGGTAGGAAGAATAAAGGAGGAGAAATTATACTACATGGGGGGAAAATTAAGCACAATCAAAATAAAACCTTATTAGTGTGTCCAACATTAAATAGAATGACTTGGGCTTTGATTCACAGTGGACAGGTAAATTTTACTACTGAATACTGGTAGATAAATCAAAGATACCTCTTAATAACTCGATCTCTTTAAGCTGGCAAGACTGGAATAGAAGTTTTAATGAATAGCAGCACAAAATTACTTGCAACTCTTACATTCTGGCATTGGGTACCACTAAGTCAAGTTCATCATTCTGATGGTCAAAGGAGCCTTGATTTTATTCCTTTTCCAAAGCTGAACCCAATGGACTGCTGTGGGAAAAAGTTATTGTCTCTTGTTCAGTTGTTCAGTCATGCTCAATGTAAACAACTCCATAGCACAAAAAGATGCAATGGGCACCTAAATAAATCTTAGTGGGTACAGAACACACACACACACACAAACAGACATACACACACCCACACACGCTCGCAACACAGTTTGTTGGTGGCATGAAAAAAATGCCACACATGAAAAAAATAATGCTACAGTTTGGGTCAAAGATTGAATTTTTAGCAAACTGCCTGGTAATCTACAAGTTCATTTCTTTGAGACATTACCATTTTTTTTTTTTGACATTTGTGCAAGAGGCAAGGTGAATGCATACATATTAAAATGTTCACATTTAATGGGAAGACCACACATAATGGCAGTCTTAATTGAACCCATTTTCAAGTATTTGTTCACAGATTCTTCTGAGTACTGTATCAGCTCTTTACACTGGTAAGGTAGCCCCTGGGAGCCACACATCTATTTAGCTTCAAACAAAATGAATGGAATGACCAGCACCTTCCTTTGTTTTCAGGCAAGTACACAGAAGCCTCGCTGCAGCCGCTACCATGTGGCGAGTTCTGATGGTGCCAAAGTTAGAAAGAGTTTCTTTGGCCACTTGGTTTCTCCCAAAACACAAGCGAGTCTCTTGTCTTAAGGTACCCTTACAACATCTCTCGACACCACGGACGGGATAAAGCCACACAAGAACAGCACACTGGAGGCCTAGTACGTGTATTTGTTCAGTGGTCTGACAGACGGGGTTTGAGGAACAAAGGAAGGCTTTGGTGGCACATCAGGTTTTAAGGACGGCGTCCTCTTTAGTCCCGTCCTAGGAAGGGTGCCATTACTGGTGTAGCTGCTCTGTCTGGAGAGCGAAGGCTGCATATGAACACTCACGGGTGTCCCCTGAATATAGTCCACCTTCGCCCCTGTGGGGGTGGGCATGTACCCCCCACGGTTTATACTAGGCTGTCTGGATAACAAAACACCATTTGGTGAGTTTAAGTTTTTAGGCATGGCCGATATAGAGTGCCTCTGGGAGGAATTTTTGTGATAGCCCCGTTGTCTTTCCAGAGAAGTCATTGGGACTCCCGGAGTGGTGGGGACATCCACCCGCTTGGTCGGGCTATTTCTGGGGAGAGTTGAAGGTGGGGAGTACAGAGATGCCTCCCGGTTGGGGACCTTAGGGGGGACCTCAGACATAGGCCCCGCAGGATCCAGCATTAGGCTCTGGTGGGCCATTTGGATGTCTCCCATGATGGCTTTGGGGTTAGTATTTGGGTCGTTGAGGTGCTTCAGCAGATCATTGAGGGTATTTCTGGAATCCACGGAGCGCCGGTGATCTCTCTTGCTGGATGACTTCGTAAAAGGGTGGTCGATGTTTTGAAGCTTCTTCTCGGCTTTGTGAGCGTTGGAGTTTGAGAAGGACGTGTTATAGTCATGGGTGGCATTTGGAAGAACAATGGCACTAGGGATGTGCCCATGACTTAGCGGGGAATGAGGTGGAGGACTAGAGGGAAAAAACTGAGGGGTTTCTTTCCTTGCAGCGCCGTGGCTGTGGGCCTTGTCCGAGTGGCTCTTCATGGCCTGCAGGGGCTTCTGGTGAAGAACAGGTGTCGACTCAGGGGTGGGAAGGGCGGCCAGCTCCGGGGGCTGGCCTCGGTGGTCCATGACCATGGATTTAGTGTCTCCATTGGGTGGCAGCTCTTTCCGACTGGTCAGCAGGTTGCTATACAGTTTAGGAGAATCGATATTCTGTTGGTATTCCTTGACCGGGCTGTCAAAGAGACCATTCAGTTTGGCGAAACTTCCACTGGAGTCTGTGCACGACTGGGCAGATTCCGCGTCTTTGTGGATCTTTCTATTTTTCCGAACAAACATGTCTCGATAGCAGTATACTGCCACGCCCGCAATGAATGCCCCCAAAACAAAAGCGGCAAAGACACAGGTGATGAGGACATTCATGTGGACCATCTGGTTGGACTCTCCAGACTGGACTTCCCATCGGACACCTGCAACCGACACATGGGGAAAGTGCGAATGAGATGCTTTTTAAAAATAATATTAAACAGTCAACGGCTTTCGATAAGCCAACACTACCTTCACATGGTCTGTATGCTTAATCCTGGAGAGTCAGGTAGACTCCAAGATTCCTTGTATAGTTTGTTTTTAATCCCCAGAGACATATCTGATTACTACAAATGCCAGCATAACTCTAATTTCCCCTCATCTGTATTTTTCTGTTCTTTCCCCCAACCCCTCTTAAACAGTTGTTACGCAACCTTAGAAATTTTAAATTTCTACCTAAAAATAGTTACAAAGTGTACATTTCCTGAACAGCCAATTTTAAGCTCATTAAATGTTTTCTCTCATGATATTCTCTTAATGCATCAATCAGGCTTAAAGGGCAGGTGCTGGGATTAGGAAAAGGCATGAATTAATATAAATGCACCCTATGCTAAAATAATTATTCTAATACAATTATACTAACTTAAATAAAAATGCATAATTTGTTTATAAACTAAAAGTATCTGCTTGGTCATTGTAAGCTACAAATATAGACTTTCATGTTTGCTTTTTTATTTTTTTAATATCATCTTGGGATGAAGGACTCTTGAATTTCCTGCTACCTAAGAAATCCAGACAGTCTAAGGAAACATACTGTGCATCCATTAGTAACATCATTAAATTATTTGGAGATATTTGAAAATATTTATATTAAACCTAGAGAAAGAAGAGTTAATTAGTTTATAATTATTGGAATTTTTCAATGCAACCACAGACATCTAACAGTCAATCAAAGAAATGTTAGTTTAAGAGGTATCCAAGTCTGTTACATGCTATCAACACAGCTATCCCAGAGTAAGGTAAGTTAGAGTGATTTTGAAGATTCTGTTGCTTTAGGTTAGTACTAAGGCCTTTGAATATTAGTTGTTTTTAATCAATGTTCAGGGTTATGGAATTCAGTGGCATTGTGAAAGACCAAGAAACAAAAGTAGAAAAAAAAATGGTATGATTAAAATAAGCAAAGCAGAAAGAAGAATGATTAAACTTTTTACAACGAAAACACATAAAACCAAAATAAACAAATGTAAATCATAAATGACAATGCACTGCTATAAAAACTGATTGGAAACCTGATACCATAAGTTTAGTAATCACTAAATAATAGATTTTTTTTTTTTTTGATAATCGAATTCAACAGGCAGCTATTTTATAACCGCTTCTCTTGTGGGCTGGAAAGGATAGTTACAGACCAGCACTCTGTTACGGTTTATTGCTTGTGGTATTCAAGCAACTTACATCTCACATATCCTTTCATTCACATTTTGAATTGAAGCTAAACAAGAAGCTGGGAAAAGCTCCGAGATAAAACATACGATATGAAGATATTTGCAATGAATGAGTTTTGTTTTCTAAAGTTGCTGAGGTGACCCTCGAAAATCTCTGGCGCCTCTCCGCTTCTCCAGACGGAAATCAACCCCGATTAGATTGGCTGGGCGGCTGCTTCACCAACCCTTTCTTCAACGGCTTTCTAGCTCTTTCGTCTTCTAAGGAATGGGCTCAGATAAAACCACAGAGAAGCAAAGAGACCGTGGCCAGGGGAGGTGGAGGCACAACCGTAGCAGCTCCATGGAGGCTCACCTCTGGAGAAACCAACCACACACACCTCAGCCGTGGTAGGGATCAGGTTTCCACACAGTTAGAGATGGGTTCCCTGGTGAGGCCTTACCCTTTGGGATACCTGATAAAGGATCAGTAAAATCAGAAGTGTTTGGGTCATCTTGAACTACAAATTTCCGGGAGCTCGTCAGTTTAGGTCTCCAGGTATCAATCACTTTAGGTGTAATTTCTGGGATACTTGCCATTGTGGTAACAGAAGATGAAGATACCTCCATGTCTGTGGTGGCAAACAGATTTTTATTAACATGGGTAGTGTGAGAAGATTTTTTTTTTTTTTCTGATTGGTCTGTTGCATTTTTAAGTCAAGTTTAAGTAAGTTTTGTGAGGAAGCTTCTAGGATTTCGTAAAAACACACCTGAGGAGACTACACCGAGTTCCTCTCTGGCAAGGGAAGAATAAAAAACTAAAAAATCAACAGTAGAGACATAGTAAGCATTTCAAAAGTAAAACACTCAAAATGTTCCTACTGAAGCCCCTGTGGTTATTAATGATACTCCTGAAAATGTTAATACAGATCCCAAAGCAGAAAAATAATTGCTATTTTCTCAGTCTCTTTTGAGACAATATCATTTCATTTATTTTTGTGTATGCTTTAAAAAAGCACTTTCAGGGATGGCTGGAAACTGTGTAGCCTTCCCTGGAGAAGCTACAATGTAACTTCATCACAAAATACCTGGTTAACTCTATATAGACACTAGATTTTGGACCTGATAGACCAGCCCTGCCAAGAAGTTATTCAAATAGCTTTACCGTGGACCTCCCATCCACTTGCAGATTATTCTCTGCACTGAGGCCCTACCATTCACGGTAAAACATGGAAGCAGGAACAAGCTTTGCCTGCACCTTCCAAAAAACCTAGGGAGTTTCTGCCAAAGACTTATTGGTAACTAACGCAAAAGCAATGGTATTTACAAACTGAATGAAGATGTTTCCGGTATACAAGATCTGCCATCTTTTCCTTCCCCTGAGGAATGAATCTGCTGACACATTTTAGAAGCAGCAATGGGACCAGGAGTTAACTTAACCCTTTTAAGTGTGTCTATTATGAATTCCCACAGGTAGATTTTTCTCTTAAAATGTAAGCATATGCTTTTAGGCTTAAATCTCTGAGACCCCAATTCAGACTGATGCAACAGTCACCAACGAAGGCTCCAAGACAGATACAGACAGGGAGACTCGGAGAGCCCACTGCACATTTTTAACACAGCAAACCCCGGCTTCATTCCCCTGAAGCCTCTTTCACACCACTGAGACCACAGCATTCAAAGATTCCCAGGATTACCACAATTCATTCAAAACCAAAAATCTCTAAAACTAAAAATACACATTTTTTTTCGAAATGTGTATTTGTTTACTAGGTCTTAGGAAAGGTAAGGAGAGATGAGGAAAATAATGAAATTCTGCCATCCGTTAAATTCAGATGGCCAGAGGGAGCATTCACGATGGGGGAGGGGTGAGGAAGAAGAAAGCTCGGGTGGGCGTGCGTGCAGCTGGAATGCAGTCTATGTTAACCCATTTGGTTTCTCTTAAAGGATGTGCCTTGGTCAATGATGAACTGTTAACATGCTACACAGGGGTGAGGTGCTAAGAAAAGTCTTTTGGTACCGTCAGTGGGATTATGAGTCAAAGCAGAAAAATGAAGGGCTGCCAAACTGCGCAAAAGGTGGGGAGAAGGGGCTGAAAATGCTGAACTGAAGGAAAGAAAAGGTTTGTTAATTCAAAAAAATTAAAAAAAACTAACCAGATGTTGGACCGCCAAATATTTTGTAATCTGGTGTAGTTGAAGTAGGCAAAATTTCTAAAAGAATTAAAGGAACAAGTAATCAGTGAAAAGTAACCAAAAGAAAAGCAAAAATTTATGAATTCCAATTAACTAAAAAAAGTAAAAATTAAAAAAAAAACCAACCAAAAAGACTATAAATTAAAAGATTAACCTACTGGTTAGACTACCACTCTCTAGATTTCCTACAGAATTATAAATGGTGAAGGAAAAGAAAAAGTAAGACCCTTTTCTAAAGCATCCCCATGACCAAACAGCTCAGCTTTTGCGAAGTTTAAGTTAAATGCTAGGTGGTATGTGTCCCAAGTCATTAAAAAGACTGATTGTAAAATAACGTCCACGTGCAAATGTGGTCAAAAAGAAGCTCCAGGAGGGAATGGAAGATTCTGTCTTACCGTGGCAGTCCCCTAGGTGGGCCGTGTTGCCGTATTCTGTGTCTTGCTCATATCCGCCAGCTCTGTGGTGATGGAAAGCAAAGAAGTCTTCGGTTAACAGCCTTCATAGGAACACAAGTGACAATCAGAGCAGAACCAAGAACACAGACCGATTAGCAGATTAGCATGAATGGGCAGAGAGAAGAGAGAGAGAGAGAAAAGAAATCAACTTTTTGACATGATTGGGCTATCCATAAAATGGCTATGTCTTTTAAAGAGTTTTCGACTAAAATGTTTAACAGAATAGAATTATATTTTTCTCTCCATCTAGTTGCCTCAAGTGTCATTATGTCTACCATTTCCCTTCTTCTCACATCTCCATGTTTCCTTTTTTTTCTTCTATCATACCAAAAAAAAATCAAAAAAGAGACAGAAAGAAAGAAAAAAATGAAGTTTTCTAAAATGTCTAGCTTTAGATATTCCTGGAGAAGACAGTTCATCCTGGCTCAGGTGACAAAGGTACTCACAGCATCCCTGGAGTCACTCTACCACAGGTTCCCTGGCTTAACCAGCCACAGTACGGGTCACGAGATGCAATACAAGACCTGTACAAAAACCAAGCAGAGTGCCATTTGGATTTTTTTCATCGTCAGAGGTTTTGATGCTGCGACACCCCGGGTAAGTAAAGAAACGCGGGCTTACTTTTTACACGATCCATATCGCTCGCAGCGACTGAGGGGAATGCGGACGACGCAGCCGGAGAACGCCACGTACAAAGCGTGGTGATCTTTATCCAGCTGTAACGAGATGACCTTTTTGTCTTCCTCGTTCTCAGCATTGCACCTATTTTGCGGGACACATTTTGGAGCCACATGTTTAGTCAGTCAAGCATGGTTTTTGGTTTTAGCAATTACTGGGAGCTGGGGAAATGGGAAGCGAGGGTCTTGGTAACAAACTAGGCAAGTGCACAGTTTGGGAAATAATCATTATGTGATTCGCCTTCTACTGCTCTGCATGGTTGGTTAAATTTCAGGCTGGGCAAAGGGTTTTTGTAAGACGGCTTTCCCGTTATGATGCTCAAAAGGGAACTGCATTTGCGAAGGCCATGTTAGATTGCAGGGAGCGAAATGGAGATGTTTTAATGCATTTAAATCTTCTGTGTTAGATGTTTCTGGATCTCTCCTTAGGTCCGCTTTTCGCCTATTTCTTGTTTGTTTTAATGGTCTCAATAATCTCTTACATAGCAATGGTTGGAAGAAAATGCTCATCTAGAATTATATTCTGTGTACGTGTGTGTGTGTGTGTGTGTGTGTGTGTGTGTGTGTGAATACGTGCTTACAACCAACCGTCTGCTGCATGTGGCAGCCTGAAATATATCTGCAGGGTACAAGGGGTGCTACGAAAATGTTCTCATCTTCCACAGGTAAAAAACAAGGACTGAATTATTTTTAAACTCTTCAACTGTTCACCTCCTTGCCCTGGTAGGCTCATGGAAAGAAAAAAAAAAAAAAGAAAACTAAAACAAATCCAGGATTTATCTTGGTGAGAAAAAAAAAAAAAACAGTAATATGCCAAACCACTGCTAATTTAGAGGGCTAAAAGGAAATGGCTAGAAGAAATAAATGCCGGAAATTTTTGAGCAATGCTCAAAGAGCATTCTCGTAAAATATACCTACTTTGCATGGTTGTAAGCTTCAATCTCTTCCAGTAATACGCTGTCGTTCAAAGAGAAAGGACTGGTCTTTGCCAAAACTTTAAGCACCACGCCAGCCTCGGAGCCAACAAAGATGACCGTGTAGTTCTGGTAGGGCCCTGCAGAGCGGTCCACGGCGATGGCCGTCAATCGGTACCTGCCAGAGGAGGTGGAAGAAGTCGGGGGGGGGGGCTGACTGGAAGAGAACAGGCTGGACAGAATTGGGGTGGGGGGCACTGGTTCCCACACAATCTCACCTGACCCGAGTCTTTGTGAACCAGGGCTCGTCGGCGATGGGTGGGACAGCAGAGTCCATCAGGGGGTGGGATTTGATGAACGACAGGGTTTCATCCGGGAAATCGATAGAGGTTTTATAACCTTCAGCAAGGTCATGTTTTGCACAACAGCCAGGCCTGGAAGGAAACAGGGTTCTTTTATTCCTAACCCCCCCCCCCAAACACACATGGCATCTCAGGAATAAGTGCACGTTCTGAAAAGAAGAGGTCAAGAGGGAAAGGTGAGCGAGTGAGACCAGAGGAGCAACGCTGTCTCCCGAATTCAGTGGGCTCTCCGCGTTCACGCTACAGGCTTGCAGGTCGCAAGGTGACATTGGTGACTCTGTCCGAGACGCTGCAGAGGGACCCGTTCCTGGTGTGGGAGGCTGGCCCAGCTGCTTTCCAGGAATGGATGCTTCCAACGACCTGAGGGTTTCGTTCAAGTCAAAACCCTTTTTGACCTTTTTCTTTTCTTTTTTTTTTTGCCCAGTCTAGAGTGCCGTGGCGTCAGCCTAGCTCACAGCAACCTCAAACTCCTGGGCTCAAGCGATCCTCCTGCCTCAGCCTCCCGAGTAGCTGGGACTACAGGCATGCGCCACCATGCCCGGCTAATTTTTTCTATATATTTTTTAGTTGGCCAATTGATTTCTTTCTATTTATAGTAGAGACGGGGTCTCGCTCTTGCTCGGGCTGGTTTCTAACTCCTGACCTTGAGCAATCCACCCCGGCCTCGGCCTCCCAGAGAGCTACGATGACAGGCGTGAGCCACCGCGGGCCGGCCTTGACGTTTTTTCCTTACCTTGGCTTTGGTACTTTGTCTTCGGGAACCGCTGTCCAAACAGAATCTGGAGTTTTCTGTTCCTTAAACCGTCCTTTGAACACTTTTTCAATGTCATCCATGCTAAACGCACAGACGGCGGATCCAGGGATGCTGAGAGGAGAGAGAGCCATGTGTGAGGGGCTGGTGACAACGGGCCCACGCGCGCTCCTGACGCGCATGCGCAGAACACCCTCTGGAGTGCCAGGGAGCCGCTCTCACCTGTTGAGCTGTGTGGTAAACACCCCGACCACAGTGGGGATGCCATTGATCTGAATTATGTCTGTGATAGACTGCAGAACATCAAAGTAGAAAAATGAATCTCCGGGGACAGAACAGTTAAGCCGAGCCTTCAGAAAGGAAGTCCAGTGTTTCTCCAGGACCCGCTGGGAGCCACCCATGTCGTTTTTACAGATGCGGGCCACACGGGAATAGACCGCCTGCCCAGGGGACAAAAGCAGAGCGACAGGGCTATGAGCAAGGATGAGGACCGGAAACAAAGCGCTGCTATTTAAGGGATGGACAAAAAAAAAAAAAAATGCTAAAGATATATCTGGTTCAAAAGAATCTAGTAGCAGCCTTCTCTCTAGGGGTCTGGACGGTAAGAATGTAAACTAGATTTACCTGTGAGAAAAAAAGGGCCATTTTCCCATTTTGCCAAGCATGCTTCCCAAGAAGTGAGCCATCCATCTGCCCTGCTGAATGAAAATCATTCCTGCACTCTGTCTCCAACTCTGCATCTCGTATTGTTAATGAAATGTGTTGTAGAAAGGGTTGCAATACTTTAAAATCGCACGGGCTTTCACTGAAACACTCAAAATTGAATGGAGCCCCTACTTTCTATTCTGCCTTTTAACACTGAGGAAGAATAGACTATCAGCAGATTTCTAAAGAGTAAAAGCATCCATAGCTCAAGGGTACCTGTAGAACACTTTCTGTAGGGGGGGGGGAGACAACTTCTCAAGGCCCAAGGCTGCTGTTTTCACTCTGGCCATTGTTTCCCGGCAATTATTCTCAGGATAAGCAACCCATGTCTCTGCACTCGGCCCTGTGTGCACTGAATTCAGTGCGGGAAAGCATGCCAAGCGAGCATCCACAGCCCTCCCAAAGTGGTCTCAACACCGTGCAGTACAAGTCCGCAGTACAGTCAAGCGCATACTTGCCTTGCCCAAATTATTATGCTCTACAGCAATTTCTCGAAAGAAGAAATAGACATAGTTTCCGTATTCTATGGCATGAAGAAAGTGTGGCTCTGAAAGAAAAATTGAAAACACACTGGTTCCTAAAGAGTAATTCAATTAGCATAAGACCCCGACTGCCAGGCATGACTGACAGATGTCGCGCCATTACGTTCAAGCCGACAAGGACTCCAATATGCCAGCAGTTCTGAGGAGCCCCAATGTGGGTGTGTTCAAGCTTCAGGGAGCCCGTCGTCTTTAAAGTCAGCTAATGGGCTGTAAAAAGGCCTACACGGAACTGAACTACAGCAAAGGTCTTTGTTTAAACAGATTTATTCATTAACCTATTTAACTAGGGAAGAAAATCTCTTATACTGAGAATAAAAAAAATCTTGATTTCTAGACTCTGAGGAACAAAACGACTCTGCAGACAAGGCCTAATCGATTCTCACTGTTAAGTTTCCAAGGTAGGTAGGCGAGCGTGGACAAGTAGTATTCCATGCATTTCGAGTTAGACAAATCAGCACCCACAGAGATAAGATCTCTCTCTCTTTCTCTCTCTCTCTCTTTTTGAGACAGAGTCTCACTCTATTGCCTGGGCTAGAGTGCCATGGCATCAGCCTCGCTCACAGCAACCTCAGACTCCTGGGCTCAAGCAATCCTTCTGCCTCAGCCTCCCGAGTAGCTGGGACTACAGGCGTGTGTCACCATGCCCGGCTAATGTTTTCTATACTTTATTAGTTGGCCAATTAATTTCTTTCTATTTTAGTAGAGACGGGATCTTGCTCTTGCTCAGGCTAGTTTTGAACTCCTGGCCTTGCGTGATCCTCCCACCTCGGCCTCCCAGAATGCTAGGTTTACAGGCGTGAGCCATTGCACCCAGCCTCTCTGGTTTTTTTTTTTTGAGGTCATTCAGAATATACACCTGGGCAAACTTACTCTCCTGATACAACTACTAGTCTCTTCACTCCCCATCCATGGCCCTGTTCAAAACCTAAGCAGTGTGTACTTGCTCTAAATAAACAGCATAAAGTCATGCGCTGAACCCCCCCCCCCACCACCACCATGGCCGTGGCTGCCGTTTGCACTCAGGCTGTCCCACTGTCCCGGTGACCCCTGCCGTGTCACTGTTCTTCAAAGGTACCTTTTATCCATTTGGAATCATATTTTATTGTGCGGAGTGCAGATCCATCACCCATGCTTCGATAAATAACAGCATCGCTGGCCAAGAAGTCAGCCACTGTGGCAGAATACAGCTTCCCATCTGAAACCAAGGTTATAATTTTGGTAAAACAACCAGAATTATCCTGCAGTGTGTTAACTTAATGCAGTGTGTTAAACCCTTTGGTGTGCTTTCACCTGTGTTATTGTTATTTACACAAATAAACCTATACCTGGTACTCACTATCAACCTGTGACAGGGTGGCCCATGGCATTACCTAATTTTACAGATGAGAAATCTAAGCATCAAAATGTTAATAAGCAACTTATTGAGGGTCACTGGCCTAGTTCACAACAGGGCTAAGTGACAGAATACTTATCGTATGCATTGAAATAGCTTTGCTTTTAATCTCCTCTTTTTTGGAAATCTGTTCATAGATTTTTTTTAGCCTTTGAAACACTTATATCAAGGTAGCTATTCAAGTTATGAGCTTTCTTCTTCCTTTAAATTCCTTCTGCACCTTCGATGTCATTAATCATTTATATTCATTACACTGAAGGATCTTACCAGCAAAGAGGGCAACATTGGTTTGTCTGGCATCAAATGGGCATCTTGCCAGGCCACTAATTTCTTCCCCATCATACTCTAAAGTATTCAACTACAAAAGAAAAATAAATAGCTGGTGTTAGAACTGTTCAATGTGCCTGTTGGAAGGCAATACTGCTTTATTTGTATTGGAATTCTATTTGAAGAAGTCTGTCTTTATTCTTTCATAGCATTAGAGGTAAAATAAATTACTAGAAAACGGAAAAGATTCAACTTTAACAACATACGACGGAGGGAAGAACAGTGGATCAAAAAAAAAAGCACATCATGCAAAACATACTTACCCTATAGTATCTACACATGGGATTGAATGCATTGGTACCACAAACAAAAACCATCTCATCGTTTCTTGGAACAAATACTTTGATAAAGTTGTGGCATTCGTCCTAAAGAAAATAACGATTACATTAAAATCAGACATTCCGCTTGCTGAAACTGTGGTATCAAGCCCACAAAAGACTGAGTCTGGCAGGCACTCGTCTGTTAAACTCACTTTATGTTTGCCTTTCATAGCACAGTTTTCTCGATCTTGTTGTCTTGATCGCCACGTCAGTTTCTGTATTAATCAAGCAAAATTAATTTTTTTTTTTACTGGGAATATTTTTGGAGGGGAAAAAACATCATTCAGGTACTGAGGGAATGCAAATAAATTTGTCAACGACAATTGCCTACCTTGCTTGGAATTACTTCTGTTTTGGGAATTTCATTTAAGTTTACTGTATAAACTTGATCCCTGTTGGAAATAAGGCAATAAGTCACATCATGTGAATACATAAAAATGTTAAGCTGCTTCTTATTTTATTTTTACAGATCTGCTTTTATTGTGTTTTGGAGATCATCTGGATTTTCTCTGTCTCAAGCAAAGTCAACAAAGAGTGCTTTTTCATTAGTGAGATACTTTTATATATTACTGTAGTCAGAGAGCAAAGAAAAGCTATTCTCTCCAGGCATGGGTCAAACTGCTCCATGGTATCAGCACAGACATATTTCTAATATTTGCTTGAATAATTCTAAGTTGAAAACGAATAAAGAAAGTTTTTTGCCCCAACTGCTTTAGGGAAAAAGAATGGTGTATGATTTCTTGATGGCAGCGATAAAACAGCACTGCTGAAAGCTTTGACTCTATATTTTGTTCCTGGTATACAACACTGACTCTTCTCAGTGGATATTTCTGGCTACTTGCAATTTTTGATCACAATCACATATTAGTTTTTCATGAACTACGCACATTAATGCAAGCGCCACAAGAGAAAAGAATTTTAATCTAATAAACCAACGAGAGGAAAATTACCTGCCAGCAATATAAAGTGTGTCTCGAATTTTCAACATCAGCTGAAAGTCCAGCCTGTGCTGCGATTCATTGCCTGAAGGGCGTCCTCTAAAAACCGGATATTGCCTTGAATCTGCAAGTAAAAATGGGCTAAACCATCAGTCAGGATTATGGAGCTGAAGAATCAATATACAGCATTGATTAGCTGTATATACTAGTTGTAGAAGGGTTTTAACTAAATTCCTCTCTTAAGGTCTTGAATATAAATGAATAAAAAGACAGTGAATGTCAGCAAATGGCCTTTTTCTTTTAACTGAAAATATATAACCTACCTATGGGTTGCTGTAGAAAAGCACCCCACAAAATTGTCCCATTCCTCCAGATACCAAGAAATGATCACAGATAGGTTAATATGCAAAACATTTTTAAGACATAAAAATCCTTCTCTCCCTCTTTCTGAAAATGAATGTGATTATTAGCAAAATGAAAACAAAGAAGCTTCCTTCTCAGCAAAGGCCAGTGTTCTTGAGGTGACTCACAGTGATAGTCCACGGTGTTAAGGGGCTCGTCATCTTCAGGAAAGCTGACTGCCCTCAGCCGGGAGACCGTCAGGAGCAGCACGTGGGTGCAGAGCAGGGAGACCCTCATGGTGGGCCACGGGGAAGTCAGAGAAGCCCCTCCTCAGAAATCCCACCGAGCTACCTAGAAAACAGAAGCAGTTTGCAACGCTCTCTGTGCTGTGATGAAACTGTTTTCTCATTTGTCATCAGCTCGATTTTCGCCATCAGCTCCCTCCCAAGCCCCCCTCCCACCAGGAACGACGCTGGCAGTGGTGGATCAGGTATCTCTGAAAACACGGGCAAAAAGATGGCGGCACGCCAGGCCCGAGTCACGCATCTGGGGAGCATACTGACGTTCTAGGCAAATTTGCAAGAACTTCTGAGGTAATAACAACTGTATGTCATCACAGGAGAATCACCACCGGAACCATGAGCAGAAATGCTGGCTGCTGACTTGGCAAGAAGACGGGTAAAGTTGGGATTAGAATTTTAATTAAACTCCAATCTGCATCCCTTCCCCCAGTCCTGAAACTCATCCGATATAGCTTGTCTCTGTCCCCCCACAAAATGTCCAGGCTGCCTCGAAAATTAGCCAGAGAGCTGATGATCCTGTCACTGCATGATTCAAGCTTTAGACATAAATTCTTAAGTCGAGTAGTTCCCTAAGCTTAGTAGGGAACATGGAAACAGTGACATGAATGACCTTGAATCAGGGTGAAAGGGCACTGAAATAAATGAAATGATTTCATGATAACCAATCAAGCAAAGCAGGGCAGGGATGAAGCAGCACAGCTGACACCAGCCACCAGGGAAGTCTCCATTTTTACATAAAACCATCTGGACACAAACCAATACCCTAAGTATGCCTGTCCTCTTAGCTTTATTGAACTTTAGCACTGTAGGAGGCCTTAGGGACCATTGAGTCCAGCCCCCTCGTTTTTCAGATGAGAAAACCAAGGGCTGGAAAAATTAAGGGACTCACTGAATTTCATGTTAGCTAGTTAAGGCAAGACTGGAGTTTGGACTCTCAAGACATGAGTCTTTGTTCAGGTTCTTTTCACCATCTTAAATGGAGAAAATAAATGACTGGGTTTTTCCTTTCAAAAATATAGCATTACAAAAAAATTTGGGGTGGGGAGAAAATATAGTCATCATCTTTATTGAAGTGTTTCACAGGTGTTAAATTTCATTAAATTGAACATTACATATGTGCAGTTTATCGTACATTAATACCTCAATAAAGCTGTCAAAATATAGCATTAATTGTACAATAATAACAGTAAAAATTTAAAAAGATCTTTAAATGTCATTAACTTATTAAAAAGATAAATTAGAGACCTGTTAGGCCAACAGAATGGATATTTTTGTGAAGCAGTAAGTGTTCCACTTTGCAAGAGTACCACCCTTTACTCAACCAAAACTGTCACTACCAGCTTCTGTACTGAACATCAAAACAATTTGGCTTTACCCTAAGCCCCATATACCTAAGAAGTTTCAAGGAGATCATCAGAATTACTTCAAATTCCAGAATAGTCCAACCACTAAACCAGGCATTCACTGTGCCTCTTCATAGACTTAATGTCAGACACACAGATGTGCACGCATGCATGCTATGCAATGCTCTCACTATGTCTCCAACTACAAAAGAAGCCAAGTATATGTGAGTTTTTGCACCCTAGTTTTGCAAGGAGAAAGCACTGCAATAATTTTTTTCCTTAGGAACGATAATCCAGCAGTAAGGTAACACATTTAAAATGCCTTACAAAAATCATGGTGGAGTAGAAACTGTGGCAGCATCATTTTGTACTCAAGTTGAAAGAGTTTGAACTTTGGAGTCTGTCTGCATTATGTGTGGCCACTTACTAGCTAATTGACCTGGGAAAGGTTCTTCAATCTCATTAGTTCCTTTACCTATAAAATAGAACAGAGCACTGTCTCCTCAGGGTGAAAAGGAACCAAATACCTGGCACATAGCGGATTGTGAGCAAAGTTAGTCCCCCTAACCCATTTCCTACTGGAGGCTCCTGGATATGGCCAGAGTGACTCTAAGAGTCTGAACAGGGCCTGGGGAAAAGATGTCCTAAAATAGTAAGGCTATTTGGCCCATTTTTCTGCCACAAAATGGATAGTTATTTTAAAATACTAAAAAGACTACTTTTAGAATGAATTTTGCAACTTGTGCCTATTTATGAAACCTGCAAAATAAAGAAAAATCACCCATACTTCTACCATCCATCCTAACCTAACAACCATGTTGATTATGCCACCTGCATACGTTTTCAATTGTCATGACAAGAGGGCCTCTTTCTGTCTACCACTTCTAGCAATGTCTTCCTGTTTTGCTTTTCCATAGAGTTCTACCATTTATGAAAACCCTAGAAAGATGAAGTAATATAATAATAGTACAAAATGTTGCCCTGAAAATTAGCTTCTGCTATAACGTCAATCCCAAACAGCATACTCTGGATGGAAAGTCACTGAATCTTTCTGCTGGGTATCAGGAAAAACAATCAGAAGCACCAATCAATCCAAAAGAAATGTAGGAATATCTGCATAAAAACAAAAATATAGTTGTTCTCCATGAGAGGTAACTGGCTCACATCAGGTAGGCAGACAGCATGGGCAGGGAGGGGCCCTCACCAGGAATAGTGTGATCCCAGCATTAAGGCTGAGGATGGAATCACTGCTGACTCACTAGCAAGCACCAAGCTGCAGGCTGAGCTATCATTTCCTATAACTCATTCATCTGACACTGCAGAAAGCAATTTCTCCCCACACCCCGCCTCCCGCCAGTCTAATCGTCCAAAAATAAAGCCCTACCACTAACTGCTTCCTGTCTCTGCATAAAGCTTTATTTTTTTAAAAAGAAAATCACTTTCAGACTTGCCATAGAAGTCATAAATGGAAGTATTTAATGCTATACATATATCAAAGTAAGGCTGGGTGGAGGAGGGAAGAATCTGGAAATACCTTAGAGAAGTATATCAGAAAGGAGAAGTATTTGCATGTAAACCTCTTGGACTACTTAGCTTTCACTGTATTTAAGGATGTCTTTCAGGATTCCAGGGCTCAGTATAGTGAGGCTAGTTATGTTGAATGAGGGCAAGCCAAGACATAGGAAAAAGTGCTAGAAAAGAGCACAGGCCGTGTGGTTAGAAAAATCTGATTCCAAATTTGCTTATGCCATTAGTTCCTGGCTTTGGGACCCTGTTTAAGCTGTCTTAATCTCTTTAAGCCTCAGTTTAATCAGATGTAAAATGGGAATAATTATCCTTACCACCTCTTAGGTTCTTCTTAGAATTAAACGATACAGTTTATATAAAGCTTCTAACACAGGACCTTACTCTATAGTAAATCTTTAGTAAATTTTAGTGAATATCATCATAACTATTATAATGACCTCTTATTGGGCAAAAAGGCCAACAACAAAAAAGCAATGTTCACTCCTTCATCTTGAACAACTATTTGCAAACTAGTTGCACACTATTTATGTATGGCATCAAACCAATGATAGGAGTGTTCCTAGGTGAAAATGTACAGCTTCATAGATAAAGATGCCTCCAAAGAGGAAGAAGGAACCTTCTTCATATGTAAGCTTATAGTAAAGAACATAACTACACGAGATTATTCCCTCCAGTCGGACAGTCAGCAGAGATACCTGAGTAAATATACTTTATCATTTTTTGGTATTTTATATGGTGTTCTCCCATACATTCCTGACATGAAATTCAATATATAATGAGGAAAGCTCTTAAAAGGAGTTGAGTGCTGCCAAGACAACCAGGGCTTGAGCAGCAGAATCCTGGAGAGAAGGAAGAAGGTACAAAGAACCAAGCTTCACACTCAGCACTTGATTTTTACCTGATGGGACTTGCTAATTCTTAAGCTCTATAAAAATAAGAGTGTAGTTATAAGGAGGAGTCAACTTTTTGGCAGTCTCAAGTTTAGGACCCACCAAGAGGGAGAAATACTAGTCAGTAACCAAATGCTCTCACTTGAACTTCTGGAAAGCTATACCCTAGAAGAAGAGAAAAACATGAGGCAGACCAAACTTTAAAAAATTCCAACCTGATCTCCAATAACTTTAGTACTGGACTGGATGGATGTAATCTCTCAGTCTAGCTACTTGCCAGAAAAGATATGGTGAAACCTCTCTAAAAAAAGAAACCATCCAGAGACTGTAGTTTTTTATACATAATACCCAAAATTCAAGAAATTACCAGACATTCCAACAACTACAACTAAGAAAGAGAGAGAGAGAAAGAACAAGCTCATGTGGACAATAGAACTAGGCCCATAAGTAACCCAGGTATTAGAGTTATCTGACATACGTCTTAAAAGTAAGTGTGCTTATTTTGTCCAAGAAAAAAGATGACAAAGTGGAAAATTTCACCAGAGAACTGGAATCTCTAAAAAAGAATTAAATGAAAATTCTACAACTGAAAAGCACAATAACTAAATTTTCTTAACAGATGTGGTTAGCAACATATCTGTCAGAGCTGAAGAAAAGATTAGTAAAAAGAATGATAGGTTAATGGAAGTTATCAGACAGAAATGTGGAGAGCAAAAAGACTGGGAAAAAACCAAGAAGAGGATAAGAGACATACAGGACCTTGTGAAAAGATCTAACATATTGTAGTCCCTGAGAGTGAACAAAGAGAAATATACAGAAACAATATTTTTGATAAGATAATGGCTCCTTTCTTTTTCAAAATTGACAAAAAATCATAAGCCACATATTCAAGAGATGTAAGAACTTCTAATTACAAACAGAATCACATTCAGACACATCATAGTCAAAAGTGTTCCAAGCAAGACAAATTTTTAAAATGTTACAAGCTAAAAGATATATTACCTTCAAAGGAGCAAGGCTAATGCTGACAGCTGATTTATCAACAGAAACAATGGAAATCAGTAGACCATAGAACAGAATTTTTAAAGTGTTGAAAGAAAATAAAATTTCAGCCAAGAGTTCTATAACTGGTACAAATATCCGTGAAAAATAAAGATGTGTTAAACAAAAACTCAAGAGATTTTCTGTTAGCAGACCCAAACTAAAAGAAATACTAAAAAGAGGTTCTTTAGGCAGGATAATTTACAGGGAAAGTTAACACAAGTTCTTTTTATGGTTACAAAATAGTGGCCAAATTTGAAATTAATGAATCCTAGATAAAAAAAAAAAATCGGTATATAGTTTTTGTCTCTCTGAAAACTATATTAATTTAAAGGAAATGAGAGTGCAGAAATGGGAAGACCTACTTTATCCCTAGCTCAAAGAACCCAGAGAGATACCATGTTGATTTGAAGTTCTCCCCCTGGCTCTCTTTGGAGATGACACTTCTCAAAGAGAATCTATGCAGACTCTCAGACTCCACCTACGTCAGGACCTGAAAGCAGAGTTGGTTCCTTCTAGCTTCCCAATGACTCTTCCAGACCTTGAGCCTCCATGAAAAGTCTTTGATTGAAGTTCTTCCCTACTTCCTCTCTTTTGTCTAATACTTCCCAGTCATTTTCTCTAGCCTTTCAAAGACCTTAGTAGCCCCAGCCCAGGGTTTCCATAGTGGGACTTTACCTCAAAAATCATAAAGTCAATCACCATGTTCTCTGAGCCTCATCTCTTGTCCTTCCAGTGTGTGATCTGACCACTTTCACCACGACTGCTCTTTCTTCTCATCAGGGCTTTCAGTTCGCTAAATGCTCTCATTTCTTCTGATCATTAGCCTTCTCTGATGTCAACATAACTCTTTCTCCATCTTAGATATAATAGTCAATAGTCAGTCATTTCCATAATACTTCTGCCTATGCTCCTGACTCCCCCATCCTCCATGTCCTTGTCAGACTTCCTTACAAAGTCCTTATTTTGGAGAAACTCAGTCATTCACCTCCTGTACCTGCCTCAGAGCAGGTTGAGTACTAGTGATGACAACCACTTCATGGGGCAATCTGGTAGTGATATAACAGAATTCTTGCCATTAACTACAAATAGCACTATAAAACTCCATGGACAGCCTGTGTTTCTCTAGTAATATTGCCCACTCCCCAAATCAATAAGTTTAAACTTTTCCCACTTTCCTCAAGGCCCCCATCTGCTTTCTCTTCACACTCTGCTACCTTCCTGCCTCCCAGCTACTTCACATAGAAAATAAAAGCCAAATGAAAGGACATTCTTCAATCTTCCCTTTTCTCTTTACCAAATACATCAACTCCTCTCCTGTGCTTTCAACCCAATCCCTTCACTCTTTTCTTGAAAAGAAAGATATTGATTATATTTCTCTCTGGTATATTCTATAGTTTTTAACTGATTAAATATTGTCTGTCAGCATTGCAATTTGTCCATGTGTCTCTCTCAACTAAAACAAAGAAAATAATCTCGTGTGGTCCCAAATCCTCCTCTAGCCATCACCTGTCTCTTCCCTTCTCTTCACAGGCAATGGAAAGAAGTTTTGCATTTTCATTGTCTTCATTTCCTCACCTCCTGCTCATTCTTTTCCTTCCCGTGTCCCAGTTCCTCTCTTGGTAGACACTGATGACCTCCAGGTACCTAGATGCTGTGGAAATTTTCCAGTCCTGTTTCATCTGAGTATTCAGTAGCTTTAGACAGTTGACCATTCACAGATTTTCCAAACACTGCCTTTCCTTGCTTTCTGTTACACCAAATTCTTCTGATAGTTTGCCCACCTCACTGTCTGCCCCTTGTTTGTATCCCATTCACTTTCTGGATGCAACAAGAATCATCTTTTCAGAATATAAACATGATCATGGACTCTCATAATCCTCAGGTAACTTTCTATTACTCTTAGGATAAAGCCCAAGTCTTTTCCATGTGGCCTTTAGAGGTCTTCATGTTCTGAGTCCTGCCTCCCTTCCCAGTCTTACCCTGAGCCTCTATCCCTCTTTTCTTGTGCCGCTTCCACCTGGCTCTGTTTTTGGGCCTGCAATGTGTCATCATGCCACCTAGCAAACCCTGCTCCTACTTTCTCTCTAGATGGCCCTTCTTGCCTCCCATCCTTGGCCTAGTTAAGTCCTCCCCATGTCTCAGAGCCTAGGGAAGATTTTTCTCAGTCCCTTGGGTCGAGTATGTCTCACAATTGTCAATACCTGTGACAACCATGAACAGACTATAAATGAAGGACTAACCATGTGTCCTCAGTCACCATAGCCCTGCTGAATCCTGCCTGATTTCCATTTATATAATGCTATTAAATAAACTAGAGAGGGTAGCATACCCAGGAAGGATGGGCACCTGGGGTTCTAGTCCCCAACAGCACTGCCATTTTTAGTTGAGAATGCTGTGAACTAAAGGAAGAAGAGCAGGTGGAGCTAGACCTGTGGCATAAGAGGCACAGCTGTCTCTGGACTGCATGACACTCCAGGTGGCACTGGTCACATTACAGTCGATGAGGATGATGCACCTGGAGTCACAGGAATGACAGATCTACCATCTATGGGTCATGACAGCCCCACATGACTACATGAAAAAGGAGCAATGGATTTAAGTAGACTGAATGAGAACAGAGAGAAGCAAATTATTTTCTACCCCTTGAAGCCTACACCAAGACAGAAAGGTTGTAACTGAAGGGAAATTACAAAAGAGAGGTTTAGGTTTACATAGCATCCATAAGCCTACGTTATATGCAGTGTGTTCTGTGTAGGGATTTGGATTTTAATCAGTGATCACCATCAGCATCTAATGGGAATGGTATGATAACTAGGCTGACGGCATAACCTCTGCTATATAGTAAGGTGATACACACTGAACTGCAAGCCCTTCTTTCACCTCCCATGTGTGGTGAGAAGATGAGACTAGGAACTATCTGTAGGTACACACAAATTCCAGAAGACCCCTAAGTAGAGTTGGGGCAGGTACTCTGGGCTCCTCTGAACAGCGTGGGTAGCCACTTGCACCCGGGCTCACCAAGTTACTCTTGGCTGATGGTGTCTTGGATGAGCATCAGCTCTTCCGTTGAAGGAATCTCTATGGCTATCCCACACCATTCCCGCCCAATCCTCTCCTGCACACAGGCTTGGGAATCAGGTGCTTGGGGATCGGAACACATAGTTACACCCTCTCTTGTTCTGGGCCAGAAAGAAATAGCTGAAAGGCCCTTGACTTCTCAGCCCCCAGGTTCGAGGAAGAGGCTTCCAGCCCTGTTAGGTTAATGACACTTTATAATTAACTATCTAAAACTCTGCCCCACGGCATGCAGAGGAAATGACAAAGCGGCTCTCTGACTCACCTTCCACGCAGCTGAAGCGCTGCTGACACACGAGAATCCGGAGGACGCACACGCTGAAGGAGCAAGGGAGAGCTACCCTGGAGGACTGGAGACTCCATACCACAAGGAACAAATCAGGGATTCTCCTTCCCCCACTGACACCGGCAGCAAGAGAGGAAAGAGCCCAGGCACCAGGAGATCTGGGGCCTCAGACTTGCTGTGTGACCACGGACAAGTCAATTTACCTCTCTGGGCTGACTTTCTTCATGGAAAAAAGGTGTGTTGGTGGGGGGCAGGGAATTAAAAATTGTAGAAATGCTGTCTTCTCTAACAGTCCATGATCTCCTCCCAAGGGCTGGAAGGACTCCTACTCCCCCTACCTGCTCGGATGAGTATCCTGGTGTAACCCTCACTGTCTGGCTGGTTCCTGCCCCTCACCATACAAGCACCTCAAGTGGCCCCTGTCATAAAAAAACAGCAGTCCCCTGCCCCACAGGCTGCCTCCACATCTCCCTCTCCCACTTCCTTTTCCAGCCAGGCTTCTTTGAAGAGAAGTCTGAATCCACTGTCTCCCCTTTTTCATCTTTCCTTACCTTTTTAGCCCACTTTAGCCTAAATTTAACTCCTTCCTATTAACCTTCTAATTGCCAAATCCAAGGCCATTCTCATTTTAAGTCTTCCTTTATCTCCTTGAGGCATATAATCATCTAGGCTGTTTCATGACATCTTGAAATGCCACCTCTGGCTTTTTGGAGTTCGCTTCAGCTCTCTAGCTAATCCTTTTCAGGAACCTGCCCAAATTTGTCCTAACACGCGCCCACCCCTTGGATGTGGTTCTTCATGGCTCCACCTGGGTCTCCGGGGAGTCACTCACATCACACCTACCTTCTTCACTGCCACCAACTCATGACAGACCAAATCCACACGTCCAGCACAGACCAGATTCCTCAGCTCCACATCCAGCCCTCTAACTCTCTGCTAGATATTTTCATCTCAGTAAAATATAGGTAATTCAGACTCAGTGGTCTAACACTGAACTTAAGAAAATTTGCCTTGACTTCTCCACCTGCTAAATTCCCTGCAGAACACAGGCTCGGAGCTCAGCGTGCCTGGATTCAAAGCCAAGCACCGCAGCTCACTAGCCATGCGAACTTGGACATGTTACCTAACCTCTCAGACTCTCAAGTTTCCCTGCCTAAAATGAGTATACTAACAGCACCAATATCATCACAGTGACTCAGTGGGATAACTTCCTGTGTAAAGCATGTCGCCAAACTCCTTGCACCTGGGAAGAATCCAATAATTACAACTACTGTCATTATTGTTATTGATATTTTTCATATCCTACTCAGTCACTCCAGTCTTAAGCCTGGGAGTCATCCTAGATCGCTCTCTCTCCATCACCCTCTCTTTCGAATGTGTCAGTACATCCTATTGATTCTATCTCTTCACTGATCTAGAATCTACTCTTAGCTGGTTTCTGCTCTCCCAGATTTCTGGTGCATTCTCCACGAAGCCATCAGAAGGATCTTTCCAAAACGCAAACGGTGTCATGTTACTTCCCTGTCTAAAAGCACTTTAATGGTTCCCAAAGGCCTATATGTAAGGTCTAAATTCATTTCCAAGATTTACAAGGTCCTTCGCGATCTGATGCTTGCCAGCTTCTCTGTTTCACCTACTCATGCTTCCCCACTTTGACCCCAAAGCAGTGTCTTCTGCACACACTATTCTCTCTAAAATGCCCTTCCTGGCAACTGTCTACTCACCAGCTCAAAACTTCCCTGGCCCTCTCTCCTTCTGCATTCCTCCCCACCTCGGACTACACTCCCCCAGACACACTGCTCTGCTCAGGACGCTACTCTGAGACCAGCCCAGGACTTCTATTACAGCCCTCATCACTCACAGCAATGCTCGTATCTTCACGTTTTCTCTACTCAGCTGGGCTGCGCAACGGAGTGTCATTCTCTCTACCGCCAGCATCGGGCACTGGGCTTGGCACCCAGGAGGCCCTCAGTAAATAATGAATGGAGGGAGAAAGAAATAAATGGAGGAGGCAGCACACTGGCAGGACTCAGCCATGGCACATATGCAAACAAAGTGGACAGCTCTCCACCGCCACCCCAACACTGAGTCCACCACCGTTCCCCTGTGGCCTTGGCTCACAATCCTTCCTCCGTAGCCCCAGCCCATGAGTTTCATTCAGGTGCTGTGAAATCAAGAGGTTCTCTGTAACAGGCAACACATGCCTCTTTTCACAACTACCCATCATTAACGAACTGCTCTTTGATCCAGGAGAAACAGGCAACACGGGCCAAAGAACTAAGTGATTTCTGTCACCCCTCTGTACCCCCTGAAATTCCTGCTCATTCTGCAGCTTTCTCAGAACAAAGGGAAGGAAATCAGAGCTGTGCCTGAGAGTGGGGAGCAGGGTACATGTGACTGGCAGAGAGGAAGCCTGCTTAAACTCCCCAGTACTCAACAAATAAATATAAAATAAAAATCAGACTGCCTAATAAATAGCTGGCTTATGCCTGAAATTCTGCAAGGGGGAATTCTTTTCTTTGGCTGTTGGCCTTTCTTTCCAGTTATAAAAGTAGTAGTGCCTTGCTTTTAAAATCAGCGTCTTTCTAAAAGTTGGGTCCATTTTGTTTATTTTAATATTAATTATATTTTATGTGCATGATACAGTTGGCAACATAAAGAAGTTTTCTCAAAGCGAATGCACCTTGTACACGAGATTTTTCACTTTAAGTCTGGCTTTTATTAAAGTGAAGCATACCAACATCTGACACAGTTAATGCTTCTGGTCACATATTAATAATTCAAAAAGGAACTGAACTTTAAAAGAGTTGGGCAGGAAGGGACAGAAGACAGGATCCAACCTGTCTTTGCCAATTCCAAGCAAACTCGAGCAGAGATCCCAGGATTTGACCTCTGATCAGAACCATTGCTCTGGGCAGCATAATTCTAGTGACAACTCCCCTACAAGTTTTTGCCTGTCTGCCTGAACTCAAATCCAGTAACATCTTTAAAGCGAAATTATACTAGCAACAATCCTCATTTAAAGTGAAAGTAGCACAAAAAACGAATGAGAGGATGATCCCCATATCTAAGTAGAGAGAACAGGCTGTCCAGACAGGTGACAAAACATATCAACTTCTTAAGAGATCAAGATAAAGACCTGCTCTGTGAAAATACAAAGCACAAGGAAACTTCTTCAACTGAAAAAGAAAAAAAAAAAAAAAAAAAAAACATGGCGGGGATTGCTGTGGCAGAAATGAACAAGGGTGTCTTCTTTAAGGGAGTTTTGCAAGCTAACTAAGGACAAGAGAAACTAAAAGCCTTTTTTTTGGTCATCTCCTCCACACATATAGTCCCAGCCAGGCCAGGCGACTCCCCTTCCAGGAAAAGGAGCCCTTCAGACAAAGGAAGGGTGCAAAGTTCCAAGGGGTACCTGAGACACCAAAGGACTCAGCCTGTCTTTGGAACATTGGCTTCTTCTCCCAGATGACCTGCTGGGGCCGCCATATGGCCTGCATGTGACATTGTGTCCAGGATAATAGGGTCTGAGTCTAGGTCTGGTCCTGCCCTCTGGGCTGGGCTGACAGAAGTAGAGCGTGTTTGTTCTGATTCTCCTGACTTTTGTGACGCCACCACTATGTGGCTGTAGCTTTCAATGTACTCCTCGGTGCCTTTTTCAGGATTTCAAAGAACACGAACAGTACCAAGGCCAGGAAGGACTGCGGATGGGCTGCTGCTACTATTCCTGTCTGACAGGGAGAGAATACGCAGATAAATCAAGGGACTTATGATCCAAGAATGGTGAAGCCAGCTTAGAACCCAGATGTCACAACGGCGTCCAGTGATCTACGTTTATCATCACTGCCAACAACAACAGGGATTTGCTCTATTTTCAGGAGCTCGTGTCTCGCTCGGTACTCTGCAAACTGCCTCACCAGAGGATCCCAGGTGACATCACGCTTTAAAACGGTTGTTGAAGGCTTTATAGAAGGGAGAAAACTCTAACAACCCAGAGAAAAAAAATCGGCCTATTTAAAAATTTTGCAAGCTGAGAACGTCTGGTCCGAGTCCTTTGGTTTTCAGTCACCAAAAATATGGCCTTTGTATTTGCCCTCTGTATCTGAGAACACAGTGACAGTTACTTGTCCAAGGCAAGTTTAAAGCAGGATTCTGGATTGTTCAGAAGGACCCTAAGCATTAACATCATCAGCATTTCGTAAAATCAGTTCTGACTTGTCCTTTTAAAATGTACTTCCTGGGTGAAGGGGACATGGAACTCCTTGTACTATCATTGCAACTTTCTGGGAGTTTGTAACTATTTCAAAATAATTATTTTTTAAAAAATGTCTTCTGTCCTACTGATGGAAATGAGTGAGGTCCCTGGTAAGGTAAGTTCAGACGGGCAGTTCTGGACTAAAAATGAAACTGTAACCAAGAATGAGCATAATAAATGGCCCAAGTAGGTTTTATGGCCAGCAAAGTCCAGGCTGGGCTGGGGGCAGTGCACCCGCCACCCCTTGCAGCCCTTTGTCTAGACTCCCTATCTGATAGACCACGGCCTTCTGGAACCTCTGGGTCCACAAGGGGAAAATGGGAGTTTCTGTAAAATCCACACAAGTTCTCAGAATCTCAGCTGCTAATTTTTACTAAACTGAATCAAGACCAAGAGGTTGTGAACAACGCTTGGCCCCTCCTACTGCCAGGGATGGAGCCGGACTGAAGTGTGGGCAGCAGGGTGAAGAACATGGGGTGCAGAACACGGCTCTGGAGCCAGCCTGCCTGAGTGGGAGTCCCAGCTTCGCTCTGCAACCAGCCGTCTGACCTTGGGCAAGCTAGGAAATGGCTTACTTCCCTGACCCTGTAAATTGGGGACAATACTACCAGCTGCGTCAGAGTTGCTGTGAGGACTGAACAAGTTCTTTAAAGAGCTTACCTGAGATATCCTGGCCCATGATA